GCTTCCCTGGGCAACCTGGGCCAGGGCCTCACCACCCTCACAGTGAAGAATTTCTTTCTTATATCTAATCTAAATCTGCCCTCTTTCACTTTAAAGCCATCACCCTTTGCACTGTCACTTGATGCCCTTGTGAAAAGACCCTCCCCAGTGTTCTTGTAGGCCCCCTTCAGGTACTGGGAGGTACATGGATATGAATGGGTAGCAAAAAGGATTTATGGACTCCCAAAATTTCTTTCTTAGAAATGTTTGAGTAGCTTAATCCTTACTGCACACTCCAGTCCTGCAGGGGCCATAGGAAGCTGCCCTGTTTATGTTGTTCCTTCTCCCTTAAGAGTATATTTTCTGAAAGAATAATATTAGTCACCTTTACTGCACAGCTGGTTTTTGGTTTTTGTTTGTTTTTTCTCTTTAGGCAAAAACCTTCATTTTCTTTTGATTTTTAAAAACAAGAAAACTCAGGAAGTGATCAAGCAAAAGGTCACGTCAAGACTTCCAAGTGCAGTTTGCCTCAGTCAGTGTGGCACTGCTCTGTGGCAGAGCTGTTGATGTTCTCCAGGCACAGTGCCAGGTTGTGTTTATTCTTCCTACACCTGCCTCTCCCTGAGGAGCCAGCGCTGTGCAGATGAGACTGATAGTGCTCAAAGCCTGTCTCCCTCTCTCGCTCTCTGCCTTTCATGCTAAATAAAGCCTGGGGTGTTGCCTGGGGCGTACATCTTTATGTCCTAAGAGATGTCCAGTTTTTACGGTTGAATCTCTATTTTTCCTAGGCATCGCCTTTTTGTAGCAGAGGAATGTCTACAATTAGAAGCAAAGTGCCTTTTTTTTTGTCTTAACAGCCTGTTTTTGGGGGTAAGATGCTGATGTGGTCAGGGAGGTTCAAATCCTCTGCAGATTCACCTTTCTGGGACTCGTCAGGAGCGGCAGAGACAGTTTCTCCGCATCACCTCAGAGCTTGTTTTAGCTTTTAGCTTTAGACCTTTCCGTCCCAAGCACTCCTTGCACTGACTCGTGGGTCACCCGAGGTGAGAGTTACCGCCCAGGTTGTGTTTCTTCCCTCCCCGAGGCTGTAGGAGAAGGTATCTTGGAGTCTCTCTGGTTGCTTTGTTACAGAGAAAAGGGTTTTGGGAGCCTGCGGCCTTCTCTGCAGCTCCCCGGACAGCCACTGGGTTAGGGGATTAATGGGCACCAGCAGGTCTGCGGTCACGGTTTGTTGTTTAATCACTGCAGTGTGGAACCATGAATTACAGGAGTCAATAAAGAGCTGCATCTGGGAGGGGTATTGGCTTTCTGACAGTGTCGTGTGGGGGCAAAGCCATCATTTCTAAGGTCCGAGTATGAGTCTCCTTTAAGTAGCCACATGGGAATTACTCTCTCAAGACAGCCAGCTCCCACTTCTTTTTTTACCTGTAAAATTTGTGGCTGTGTGTATTGTAAGTTTCTAATGTATTTAGAATTTGAAATGAACACGCCCATAGCTGTGTTGGCTACCGCAATGATCTGTTACAGCAAAATGGAGCAGAGAGAGGGTCGCCTCTGTGTCCCCTTCTCTAGACCCTCTCTGGTAGAAGATCCACGCACCGAACGGCTCACCTCTTTGGGCCTGCAGGCCCCGGGGGTGGCTTTCATACTGCTTGCAGCAGAGAGGAGCCTTCAAAAACTGCTGCTGGCTGACATGGAGCCTGCTTATTTCAGAATAAATCTCTTTGAATGCAGTATTTGCAGTTGCTGTTCTCTGAGGGCCAAATCCTGCAGGCTTCTCCTCTGCCTGAAGCATTCCTAAACTTCAGTAAGGGTTTTGCTTGCAGGCTTGGGTACTTTGTGAGGAAGCTGAGGCACGTAACTGGACTTCTTAAAGCAGGTTATCAAAGCTCTTCTGTTGCCTTTTCTTCCAGTAGCCATTCTGCAGACTCCATTTATCTTACTAATAAGTGAGGGGAGGAGAGAGAAGTGATGTGATGTAAGTGCCCCTTCAAAAATACAGCTCTAGGGCATTTTCAGAGTGCCTAAACTAAGTTGTTGAAATGAAAATGTAGGCCAGTGGGATGTTAAATCACCGACTTTTCTTTCTGTGGTACCAGCCCTCCCTGCTGAGCACGCTTGCACAAGAGAAATGCTCCATCTAGAGCTGAAGCATTAAAATTCAGGATTATTTTTCCCCCTCCCTTTTATTCTGTTGACTGTGCAGAGCCAGCCGTTAGCAAACCTGCCCGCTTGCTGGATCTGGGAGGTTAGTGCTGCCCGCACAGTACCGAGAAGGGGCCAGGCGCGGGAGGCCCACCCTGTGGCTGCACGTCCGATGAGAGCAGCTCAGGGCAAGGCTATGGCTTCAGCAGAACTTACTGCAGCCTGTACTTAGGCAAACAGCAGGCTTTTTAGTGTGTGGTCAGGCCGTGGCCAGTTCAAATAAGGATTCCTTTAACTTCTGGTGTCGGTGCTCTCCGTGGAAGTGCTGTGGTGGCTCACATTTAAGTGTTTGGACTGTTCACATTTGTCCTAGGCTCTCAAAACCATGCTCATTTTATCCCGTTTGGCATCATCCCATTCACCCAGCTCAGCAACGCTTGGGACAGGACTTTGCTTTCCAGAGACCCTCTCAGCAAAAAGGAATCACGGCCACGAAGACTGATGTGCCAGTGATTCGAGCGAGGGATTTCCTGGTGGGAGACCCGCTTACTCTCTGCCTTTGCTGTCTCAGGTTGGCGGCCCTGCGGTGCAGACGCCGGCCCGCGGCGTGCAGCAGGAGGGCGGCAGCGTGACAAGCACGGGGGCCCAGGGCAGGAGGAATGAGGCTTTTGGGAGCGGGCAGGGGCTCCTAGGCAAGCTGTCGCAGGTGGCAGAAGTGGACAGGCTCATGTCCCCTTCACCAGGACCCTGAGGCTAACCAGAGAGCCCGAGAGCGTTGCTCCAGACAGAAAGCTGAAGGTTGTTTTGTTTAAACTAACGTGCTGTGCAAACTTCCTCTTCTCACTTCTCTTCCTCTTTGCTCGCTGATTCAGAGAACCACTGGGAAGGGCCCTGGTGGTGTAGCAGGGACAGCGCGATGTGGAAGTTCGGTGGTGCTTAGTGAGGGCACGCTGTATTCTGCTGGAAGTACGTTGGTTTTGCAAATTAGGGAATTGAAACAAAAGGCTACAGCATAATTTGCCTGAAGTGCCGTATAATTAGAAGGAAGAGGACATCACAAGTGTCCTGTGTCTATTGAAAATAAGAAGCGATGGAGAAGGTGTTACCTTAGTTGCTGCAGTTAAGATCACATCAGTAAGACTGAGGCCAGTGGGCTGCTCTTTGCCAGTCCGTGTTTATGTTCTCAGTCCGCCTTTGCCAACAAAATCTTTAATGGATCTTTTTCTCATGGAAGTTTCTGTCTCCTGATTTACAAACCTGCTCAGAAGCCACCGTGTTGATGCCGGGGTTATAGTTCACCAAACACTTGGCTAAATTACACAGCGGCGGCTGCTGGAGAGACTGATTTACGTGGAGCTGTTCTGGGATCTTGGATGTTGGTGTAGAATTGTTCAGAAGGAAACGTACGAGCCCTGAGCTTTTCACGTAAAGCAGACTGAAATTCTAAGAAAAGCAAGGGTACATAAAACATCGGGAAGTACCTTACGTGTCTTTTTTGACCTTTCCCTTAAGTTAAAGCAAATGTAAAGTGCTTTTCTTTTGTTTCCAGCATTACTGGTTCAAAATAAACTTCACAAATGACTCAGAAAGACTTCTCGAGTCAGCCTGGTGCCATTTTGTGCTTTTATTTTGCAAAATGCTGAAAGGGCAGGATTGCAATTCTTAAATCGATTGGATTTCTTTTACTTGAGGGCTGACAGGGGCTCTGTTCAGTCCTCCTGTGTTCAGAAGACGCTGCACGCCGCAGCTTGCCCCGTCTGCACTTTATTACATTAGCGTGAGCTTCGGTAGCTGTAAACAAACAGCTTTGGATGCTGGTTGAAGGCTTCCAGAGAGCTCCTCAGAGCGTGATTTTTGGATGGTGAGGGTAGAGCTGGGGCTGTGGGCTGAGGCTTCCCAGGGCAGGGGCCTTCGTCAAGGACAGCGAAGGGACGGCATGGGTTAGTTCATCGTTTTCAGGTTGTCTGTGGTATTTTTGCAGTGGTAAAATCGGTGCCGGACCCGAGGTGTGATAACCCGTCAACAGGAGTGCAGTAATCTGAAATGGTCCCGGCGAAGGTCGCCAGAATGATCTGATGAGGCTGTCGTCTGTTGTAGGTTACACCACGCCGACTGCCCCCCCAGCATACAGTCAGCCCGTCCAGGGGTACGGCACAGCCGCCTACGATACCAGCACCGCTACGGTTACCACCACCCAGGCTTCCTACGCGCCACCGTCCGCTTACGGCACCCAGCCCGCCTACCCAGCCTACGGGCAGCAGCCAGCAGCGTCCGCTCCCCCAAGGTAACCTCTGGTTCCTCTGTTCCTCCTCAGGCTGGGCTTGCTCTGCTGTTGGGGTGAGCCCCAGCACACCGCCAGCTGAACTGGGACCTGCTGGGTTTGATTTCTCTGCCCGTTGCGCTTGAGCTCTGCGCTTGCTGCATCCGATCCCGTCGCGTTGCGGGGCTGAGGAAGCAGCGTGGGTGGGTTCTGCTCCGGCGTGGTGAGTCAGCTCCCTTACTGGGAGATGAGGAGAGCAACCGAGCGGCAGAAATGGGCTCTTGACTCACGATGTAGAACAGAAAATGGACCGGTCTGGTCTGAGCCTGAGTCACGGGGCCAGGCAGGATGCTGCTGCGTGCTGTGATTTCTGGGGTGGATGTGCATGCTGAAGACCATTTCCTCTTCAAATCACTTGTGTCTGTCAATAGTGTATTTAGTTTTATTGTTTGCTCAGGCTATAAAAGATTTAGAATACGTAATGGAAACTTTTTTAGTGGTGAATAAAGACTGCGTTACTCGTTTACCTGGTGTTTGTAGCTACCGCTCCAGTAGGGATGGGTGGAGCCTGGCACAGCCCTGTCCTCATCTGTGGCATTACTCTAAGTGTGAATGCTGACGTAATTTAAAATACTGTTTTCCCAGGTTGTACAACAAATGTTGCTTAACTTTTCTTACTCTGCTCTGATAAACACTTGGAGATGTAAACAATAACAGCAAAAATATTTTTATGTATTTTATAAGTACAGGGACAAATATAAAAGAAGGAGACATGCAAAGGGTTCTCTTTATTTTCAGGCCTTGAGAGTTAATAGTGAACGTAGAATAATAGAACAGTTTGGGTTGGAAGAGACCTTTAAAGATCATCTCGTCCAGCCCCCAGCATCCTTTCCCTTTCGTCAGATAACGTATGTGGGGCGATATCTGCTTGCACTGGAATCTAAACCAAACAATGGTTCATTTAACTGGCAGCATTTCTGGCTGCTTTGCGAGCCGGTCGTTTCCAAGTGTTGTGCACAAGCAGCCCGAGCATGGGGGCAGTGCTGCTGCCCACTTTCCTGGCCATCTCACATCCTCAGCGCAGTTCTAGAGCCAAAGCCTCTGGTTTTCTAGCACAGCTGGTGAGCAGGAGCAGCAGCGCTCTGCGCTCTGTTCAGGATGCTGGCAGGGGACTGTGCAAATACCCAGTCAGCAGGTGCTGAAGTGCTTAGTGCTTAACAAGCGTGTATCAGCTGCCGCCAGAGTGAGGGACGCGGTCGTGGTGCCAGCTCGTAACGCTACCCAAAGAAGGGGGCAGTGCCATTCTGTCCTGGGGGAATCTGAGCGCCTTGGCTGCTAATGGAGGTGGGGGTTTGCACCAACGTTTCCTTCTCATTCAATATTGCTCTGTAGACCCCAGGATGGCAGCAAACCAGCAGAGACCAGCCAGCCGCAATCGAGTACAACGGGCTACAGCCAGCCCAGCCTCGGCTATGGACAGAGCAACTACAGCTATCCGCAGGTGCCTGCCAGCTACCCCATGCAGCCCGTCACTGCGCCGCCCTCCTATCCTCCTACCAGGTAACTCTCCCAGCCTCCTGCAGCTGGTGTGGGACCTTTCAGGTTAACTTGGGCGGTTTTTTCTCAAAGGATTTTAAACCTCGAAGGAGGTTTGGTGTCCTGGGAGGAGGGAGGTGTCGTTCCTGTTGGGGTACTTCTTGTCGTAGGAAGGATGGAGCAGTGATTGTGTAAGTGTCTCTGCGTACACACAGTAGCAAGGTGTGATGATGACAAGTGTTTTTAAGAAATTTCCTGGATGCAGAGTGTGTTCTAGTGACCTTTTGCTGCCTCCTTGCACGTGGCTTTGACGAGGAGCTCCCCTCTTCCCCTCGGGTGTCTGTAATATGCCAGTGCTGACATTTACAGTGTGTGTTTTGAAATTCTGAAAGCCTGAGATGTGTGAAGGGGGACTGCTCTATTATCCATCAGCTGAAAATATTTCAGTCCCAAGGCAGAAAGAGGCAGATTGTTACTTGCATTGCCGCTGGCTTTTGTCCTGCCACTTCTGCCTCTTTCTGGGCTGTGAATAAATTGTGAACACTCTCCTGGATTTTGCTTTTCGCAGCCTACCAGGTTCATTTTGTCTCCTGCCACCAGACTAGCCTCCATAGAATGACTTCACCTTTTTAAATGGTTTACAGCCCTACATATGGCTCCTAATTGCATTACCTTCTCATGTGAGCCACTTCTGCAGCCTAATGCGCGTTGCCAGCGAATCGACACATCTTCCCATCTTCTCAATGCTTTTCTCTTCCAGCTATTCTTCCACGCAGCCAAGCAGTTACGATCAGAGCACTTATTCCCAGCAAAGCACCTACGGGCAGCAGAGCAGCTACGGACAGCAGACTAGCTATGGCCAGCAGAGTAGCTACGGGCAGCAGCCGCCGCCCCCAGCGGCATCCTACAGCCAGGCCCCAAGCCAGTACAGCCAGCAGAGCAGCAGTTACGGCCAGCAGAGTGAGTGCGCTTAGCAGAGCCGCGGGGTTGAGGAGGAAAGGCTGGGTTGTCCTTGCCCTTGCAGGGTGGGCTGCCTCTGAGGGGGCTGTGGCGTTCCTTTGGGTCTAGAGCTTGCAGCGGTGTTGAAGGGAGAAGCGTCCTGTAGCTGGGTTTTGCCCTTTCTCACTGAAAAACAGTTTGCCTGGTGCAGTGGCAAATCGCGGTAACCCCCCAGCGTGGCGAGGGTGAACGGGTGCTTGAAAAAGCACAGAAGTGCAGGATGCTTGGATATTTCACAAAATACCTGCTTTTGTCTGCAGTCCCTTAACATTTCTGTTACACATGTCCTCAGGCTCGTTCCGTCAGGACCATCCTAGCAGCATGAATGTGTACGGACAGGAATCCGGAGGCTTTTCAGGCCCAGGAGAGAACCGGAATATGAGCGGCCCTGATAACCGGGGCAGGGGAAGAGGGGGATATGATCGCGGAGGCATGAGCAGAGGTGGGCGGGGAGGAGGACGCGGTGGAATGGGGTAAGAGCAAATCTTTTCTCCTTTTCTCTAATTCTGGTTTACCCATAGGATTTGAAATGGAAAGAAGGGACTGAAAGGTTGACATTCCCGAAGGTATTTCCATGGAGAACGTCTCTGTAGCAGCATTGCTCCTAATCCATGGAAATGTTGTCCTAGGGGAAATACGAGCAGGATCTCCTTTTTTTTGTCCTGCGGTGGGTTGGACCCCGGGAGGGAATTGGGGGTATTGCTAAACCTGGAACTTTCAGCTCCCTTCGTGATTGCGCAGAGGTGAAATCCTCTGTGGGGTTTAACAGTGCCTGTGGACTGAACACACACAAACCTGCCGCCAGGTCCAGGAGTCACTCCCCGTGCCTTGGCAGTGGGGATCTTGCGAGTTCAGGTCTGTACCAGGCGGAAGCCTCGTGTCAGCCCCGTGTTAATGCCGTCAGCCTCTTCACCTTAGCGTAGCACGCAGAG